AGATAGATAGATAGATAGATAGATAGATACTGTACACAGATATGTAGAGATATGATAATCAAAGATAGATAGATATATATAGATAAATAGATAGATACTGTACACATATATAAAGATATGATAGATAAATAGATGATAGATAGATAGATAGATAGATTGATAGATGTTAGATGATAGATGATAGACAGACAGAAAGATAGATAGATAGATAGATACTGTACACAGATATATAGAGATATGATAATCAAAGATAGATAGATAGATATAGATAAATAGATAGATACTGTACACATATATAAAGATGATAGATAGATGATAGATAGATAGATGATAGATGATAGATAGACAGACAGACAGACAGACAGACAGACAGACAGATAGATAGATAGATAGATAGATAGATAGAAAGAAAGAAATAGAGAAATAATAGTGGAGTCAACCCATCTTATCTGGTGGGTTGGCTCTAATATCGGTTGGGCAAGAGACATCCAGAATTTCTGCACCTATGAGGCTTTCTTGGGAATTATTTGTTTACAAAACCACCGCCGAAAGCTGTGCCAATCCGTCTTTTTGCAAAAGACAGTTCTTGGAAGTGCCCTTCTAATCAAGGACAACTGAATTTGAGCTGTACTTGTCATTTTGATCCTTGGTATGGTAGACAATCTGCCCTCTCAAGTAAGAAACCAAAGTGTGTTGCGACAGAGGCCACAGAATATACATCTCTTGGCATGCATCTCCACCGTGAACCTGAAGAGCCCCAAAGCCTGCAAGGCTACAGGTTGCAGCCCCCCTGAAATGATACCCAGGGTTTTCAGAGGAAACGCAGAGGATAGCCTGACCTTCACTGCAGGAAGACAGCTCAGAGAACATGGGTGACCTTCCTGTGGATGATCTGGTGCCTCTAAATCCTGTACCTCTAAGGAGGATCCCAGCCTGCAGACGGAAGGCTGGGAAGGAGGAGGAAGCTCACATGAAACACTGGGGCCCAGGAGGATGTCCGTGCCTCACCCTGGTGGGTTTTGGAATGGCAGAAAGAGGCTGATATTTGGTCAGAAAACAGCTTTCCCTTCTGCAGATGTGAGGCCCTGTCAAGGAGGCTCTCCCATGCACCTTATGTGGAGCCATGGGTGGCAGGAGACCTTCTCAGCAGCAGGTCCCCCACATTAGGGAATGGCCCCAGGCAGAGCCAGGCTGCTCCAACATTGCTTCAGGCTCAGCATCTACCAGAGCCTGAGAACGGTGGGGAGGGGTCTTCATTTGCTTCTCTCTTTATTGTATTTCCTTCCCCTTGTGGTTTTTCAGGTCTCTTGCCTGGAGAACCAGGGATGCAAGGCAGAGAAATATTTACATTTTCAAACTACCACACCAAGAAACAGACTTAACAGACTTAACAGAATAACAGAGTTGAAAGAGACCTTGTAGATCGTCTAGTCCAGTGTTTCTCAACCTTGACAATTTTAAGGCATGTGGACTTCAACTCCCAGAATTCCACAGCCAGCATTGCTGGCTGTGGAATTCTGGGAGTTGAAGTCCACATGCCTTAAAATTGTCAAGGTTGAGAAACACTGGCTCTAGTCCAACCCCCTGCTCAAGCAGGAGAGCCTATACATCTCAGACAAAGGGCTGCCCCGTCTCTTTTTAAAAACCTCCAGTGATGGAGCACCCACAACTGGAAGCAAGCTGTCCCACTGATTAATTGTTCTCACTGTCAGGAAGTTTCTCCTTAGTTCCAGGTTGCTTCTCTCCTTGATTAGTTCCCATCCGTTGCTTCTTGTCCTGCCTTCTTCAGGCGCTTTGGATAATAGGTTGATCTCTCCCCCTTCTTTGGGGCAGCCCCTGAGATATTGGAAGACTGCTCTCATGTCACCCTTTTAATTAAACTGGACATACCCAATTCCAGCAACTGATCTGTATATGTTTTAGCCTCCAGTCCCCTGATCATCTTTGCTCCTCTCCTCTTCTCTTTTTAGAGTCTCCCTTTCATTGAAAAGTGACTTGCATGCGAGGACCACAGACTCTCGGCCTCCTGTTTCTCTCTCCCCCCCACCACTTGGCAAAATCTGGGCCATTCAGCCCAGAGACTGACCTGGGTGGGGAAAGCAGTCACCCCTTCAGACATGCAGCTCGCTGGTGCTTTTCCTGCAAAGAGGGTCCAGCAGTCAACACCCAGGCAATTTATGACCGGCCCTTCCCTGCCATTTTGGTGGCCTTGGGGAGCGTCTGCCTCTCTTGTGGATCCCAGAGTCCTTTGTACACGCAGCTCCTTCTCCCTCCCTTGCCTGAGGGATTTCCAGTCATGGAAACGATCTTCACAATTCTAACCGATAAATGCCATGCTGCGGTTGTGAAGGTGGATTCCTGCTAACAGGAAGGATGCCGAGGAACTGGGAAGAGTGTCCAAGATGGTGAAGGACTTGGAAGCTCCACCATATAAAGTGAGGGGATGGCAGAAAAGAAAGGATTTGGTCCGTCTTCTCAAGCCTGGAGTCTAGAAATAGCACTAGGAGCAAAATGATCCCAAAATCATGCATGTCCATCCCTGGAGAGTTGCTTCAATAGAAGGTCGAGGACTTGGAGGTTGGCCCTTTATAGTCTCAGGGGTGGCATGGCTTCATTAAGGACCTTGCTGCTCTCTCATTGATGTATCTTGTGACACTGAGGGGCTGCCACAAAGAAGAGAGGGGTCAACTTATTCTCCAAAGCACCAGAGGGCAAGACAAGAAACAATGGAAACTAATCCAGGAGAGAAACAACCTGGAATTAAGGAGAAACTTCCTAACAGTGAGGACAATTAGCCAGTGGAGCATCTGGCCTCCAGACATTGTAGACGCTCCATCACTGGAGGTTTTTAAGAAGATATTGGGCAGTCATTTGTCTGGGATGGTATAGGTCAGGGGTAGGCAACCTTGGCTCTTTTATGACTCGTGGACTTCAACTCCCAGAATTCCTGAGCCAGCCACTCTGAGGGAAAAGGGAGAGGTTTCCAAGCTGAGCCAGGCTGGCTCAGGAATGCTGGGAGTTGAAGTCCACGAGTCATGAAGGGGCCATAGTTCCCCCCTGCTGGCTGAGGAATTCTGGGAGTTGAAGTCCACGAGTCATGAAGGGGCCAAGGTTGTCTACTCCTAGTATAGGTTCTCCTGCTTGAGCAGGGGGTTGGCCTAGAAGACCTCCAAGGTCCCTTCCAGCCTATCCTGATTTCCTTTTAAGGAGAAGGGCTGATGGCCTTTGCTCAGCCCTTCATAGCTGCCACCATGACTGTGGGCTGGGTGTCCTACCAAAATCTGGCTCTCATCTAGTCCCACCTGCTCAGGTTCCCATGAGCCTCCTGCTGGCTGCTAGTTCTGCAGGCCGATAGTCTGCCTGGTCTGTCTCTTCAGCCCTGATGCAGAGGATCTGAGGAGACCCTGGCAGGTCAGTGAAACACTGTTTTGTGAGAAGGTCTGCTTTTGGCCACACTGGGTGGTGAGTTCAATTGGCTCGCCTGTCACATTCTTGCAGGACTACAAAGCATTCTTGGAACTGTTCAGATGAGGCATTTAGGAAGGCAGATTCCAACGGCAAGGGGGATGAGAACGCCTCAGCAAGTGCCATTAAATGGCTAGGCTCTGTTACCTTCCTAGCGGAAATATCCATTTGTCTTATGGGAATAAACACTAAAAGGCTGATTAGAACTTTGATGTTAGAAAGATATAAATGGACTACAGGCAGTCCTCAACTTACAATCACAATTGAGCCTGCAGTTTGATGAATAAGTGGGTCTCCACGTGGATGTCCCTGATTTTATCATACTTTTGCATCCATCATTAAGTATATATGACTGTTGTAAAGCGAATCCATTTTGGCAGGATTGTATCATTGTTCTTGGGCTGGTCCAGACAATACTGTAACCTTGGATGTATTGAAGGATATTTGTGAATGACGGACCCAGAAGTTAATTTTAAGAGTATCTGCCATTATAGATAGACGATGTTTGGAAAATGTTATGGAAGAGGAGCAGGTCTTACTGGATAGCATTTGAAAGAGGATTTAAAAATAGAAATTATGGGAAGGAGATGTTACACTGGACGTACAAATGATGTCTCAACAAAACAAAAGGGTGACCTGGATAAAATTTCTTGTATTTGATTTATGAAAGAGATTTGTTGTAGCTTTGAAGAACTTCTGAGTCAGGACAAAGAAAAAATGAAAATAACCCAAACTCTAGGATATTATTTGAGGAAATTAAAAATCAAGATTATTAAATGTAAAGACAAGGAATATAAAGTTGGTTTATTTGATCAAAATTATTATGTTGTTATCGCTTGTAATCTTTAATGGACTTCTGCAGATCGGGACTTGAATGATGAGAGTTTAAGGATTTCTTTATAGATAAGAGATGCGATATAGAAAGAGATCATTGTATTTTAAGAGAAGGTGATAAGTTACTAAAATTGTCTGAATTTGGAACAGTGACATCTTCAGCTTCAGAGATGGCAAAATGATTAGAAGTTACCGTTATATTAAAAAACAAAAACCCTATAATTAATCAATTAATTTAATAATTAATAAGTATTTACTATGAATTAATCAATTTGACATGCAAATTTAGAGTGAAGGGAATTGGCTATTGGAAATCCCCGTTTTGTCCTTTTTTTGGCCCCCTTCTGACCATATGAAATGTTCTTTTAATAGGTCCATCATCACCATCATCATCCTCACTCTTTTTCCACTCAGGGTAAGCAGGGTTGAAGTTAAGGCAGAAGGTACCAGCTCCAAGCTTCTGAGATGTGATGGACATCAGGAGCTAAAGAGACCGTCTCTTGATGGACGGCTAAATCCCTAATTCACTTACAGCCTTGGCTTGCCTACAACCCAAGTTGCTTTCTGACAATTGTGTTACCCTGAATGAGAGACTCTCACTCTGAAGAAAAGGCAGGGAAAGCGCTCGTTCCTTTCACATGAGAATTTTGGGGCCCTCCAGAGGTCACATTCCATAAAAAGTGACTTCTGCTGCTCTTCCCTCACGTCTTGCAAAGCTGAAAGACCCTGAGGATTTTTTCTCTGATGGGCTTTGTTCTCCAGGCATACACAATGGGATTCAACGCTGGGGGGACTAAGAGGTAGAGGCTGGCTAGCAGGACACGGATATACGGAGCCACTCCGTGGCCAAAGCGGTGGGTTAGGAAAGAGAAGACAGCTGGGGTGTAGAACAACAGGATCACACAAATGTGGGAACTGCAAGTCCCGAGGGTCTTCCAACAGGCGTCCTTTGATGGGAGATGGAAGACTGTCCCAAGAATGAGGAAATAGGAGAAAGAAATAAACACTATGTCAAACCCAATGATTAGGGCAACCACCACTAAGCCATAGGCACTGTTGATTTTGGTGTCCCCACAGGCCAACTTGACCACAGCCATGTGCTCACAATATGAATGGACAATGACCCATGTTTGGCAAAAGTGGAGATGCATTACCATTAGAACTAAGGGGACAAGGAGCACCACTGCCCGAGTGATGATGGCCAAGCCCAGTTTGGCAATGGTGAAGCCAGTGAGGATAGCCATGTACCGCAGGGGGTTACACACAGCCACATAGCGGTCAAAGGCCATAGCCACTAGAAGACCGGACTCCAGGGCGGTGAAGGCATGGATAAAGAACATCTGAGTCAAGCAAGCATTGAAGGCAATGTCATGGGCACCTAGCCAGAAGATGGCGAGCATCTTGGGGATGGTGGAGCTGGACAGGCCCATGTCCACTACGGACAGCATGGATAAGAGCATATACATGGGCTGATGGAGACTGTCCTCCATTTGGATGATAAAGAATACGATCCCATTCCCTACAAGGGCCAGTAGGTAGGTCAGACAGAAGGGAAAGGCCAGCAACAAGTAAGCAGTCTCCAGTCCTGGGATCCCCACCAAGAAGAAGGACGGAGGGATGCCCAGGTCTGTGTGGTTGGGCCAGGTCATGATGGACAGAAGGTTTCCTTGAATCTTGACGGGACTGAAATGACAAATAGAAGGTGGTCAGCTGGACCAACCACCCAGGCAATTGAGGAGCCACTTCATCTTCTGTCTATGCTCAATCCTGATTGGAGGACCAATGGAAATAGTTCGTTCAACCCCAACTCTCCTGTGTGTCCTACATCAACATGATCTTTACAGGATAAAGAGCTTCATCTGCACAGAAGAATGGATTGAGAGGGACTGAGGGGAGCAGGGAAAGGCATCGAAGAGGTGACAGTGGTGAGTCAATTCTGAGATTATCTCAGAAACAGCCACAACCAGATGGGAGAAACCTGCAGACAAGACTCAGGTGGAAACGTCCAGTCCACTTTAGCCCCAGATGAGCATTAAAGAGACCTTCCTAAAACCAGTGTCCTCCTGGCTTCCTTGACTTTGCCCAGCAGTGTGGTGCTTGACCATCTCCCTTGTCCAGAAGCACTCTGCCAGGGTGACCAATGGCCACACTCCTCAATGAGAAGCCCACGAGAAGGAGGACATCAATGTAGCTGCTCCTTAGGCTGACATTACAGAAAAACAAGCCAGCTCCGGCACCGAAGATCGTCTCCCTTGGGATTACCTGCTGGACAGTGGCCCTTCCATCCCCACAGGCCTCCCATGCAGGGTCGAAAGGTTGGAAGCTCTTTCCAGATCTCCAGTGCTGGCTGTTCTGCTGAGTGTTCCTGGTTGCTGCTTTTGCTTCAGCTGCTCTGCTTATGGCATGAGGGGCACCAGTTGGTCTTCTGCAAAGAAGTGAGCAAGCACAGGTTGTGTTGCCTGCTCTGAATCTCCTTCCCCTGGATCGTCTGACACTCTACTCCAGATCCATCAGATGACCGTGAGGGATCTTGTCCATCACCCCCACCACCCCCTCCATCTAAGGCATCATTTTACATGTCCGTCATGCCTCTTTGCTCATTCTTGTGTTAAATTTCAAATGTCTCTTCCGCTGTAAGAGACGTGGCTTACAAAGATCACACACAAAAGGCACCTGGATATGCTAGAAGGTCACAAGCTGGCAACGAGTCCCCAGGGGGATGCAGCTACTAAAAAGGCACATTTTGGGGAGTGGAGGAGGCGGGGTAGGGATGTCAACAGAAGTACAAAATCCAGCTCTCCTTGACTGGATAATTTGAAGAGGGGGCTGGAGAGTTATTTGTCAGAAATGTTCTAGGGGAACCTTTTCTGTTGGACTAAATATCTCTACGAACCTTCCTATTATTCCAGGTATAAGATTCAATTTTATACCTGTGCTCAGAAAATTTAAGTTTTGATTGGGACCCACCCAGAATTGGTTATAAGCTCTGGTCTTCTTCACATGTCAGCTCTCCCTCCCCGTTTACCAAAATTAGAAACACAGTTGTGGATTGCCTCAAATGCCTCCCCAATTCCCCTCTGATGGCAGGATGCCAGCAAGGCACAAGCCAATGGAGATCCTGGCAGATGGGAAGTCATATCAATGTTTTCAATCAATCAGTCAATCAATCAATCCACTTAAGTAAGTCAATTTCAACCCTGACTGCTCTTGAGAAGGCCAGATCCTGAAGTGGAAACTCAAGGACTTTGGCCACCTAATGAGAAGAAAGGACTCCCTGGAGAAGGGCCTAATGCTGGGAAAGATGGAGGGCAATAGAAGAAGGGGACGACAGAGAATGAGATGGCTGGATGGAGTCACTGAAGCAGGAGGCGTGACCTTAAATGGACTCCAGAAGATGGTAGAGGACAGGAAGGCCTGGAGGAACCTTGTCCATGGGGTCGCCATGGGTCGGACACAACTTTGCAACTAACAACAAGTAAGTCAATTGGAACCAGGTGGCTGCCAAGCAGGTGGGCTCGGTCTGGGTGGCTGGTGGGCTCTGAGAGGGGCCGACCTGCCTTCGGTCCCAGGCAGGAGATCCGAGGTGCAGCTCCTCAGCACAGCTGTGCAACACAGCACAGCCAGGAGAGAAGCCCAGAACCTCCCAGCCCCCCCACAAGGCAGGCAGCCAAGGGAGCCTGCCTGCCCGTCTCCCCACCTGGGCTCTGCTCCCAATGACTACCTATCCCAACCCTGTGGAAGAGCTGCCCGTTCCTGCCTTCAGGTCCTCCCACAAGCCTCACCTGGCCAGCCGTTCTCCTCTGCCGCAGCCCGTGAGCTCAGCTCTCTGCAGGCTCCCAGACCCGAGTGCCTCCTTTAAGGAGGAGAGCCAGGAGCTCCCTGCAGGTTTCCTGCTGCAGCTGCAGCCGAGACTCTCCTGTCCCTCAAAAGCCAGGAGGAGGTGGCCGGGCTCCCTGGACATTTCATGCCCGGCAGGAGTAGGTTTAGCCTCTAGGGCCCAAGCCCTGCAGCAAGTCCTCACCCCTCCCCAGAAGGGGCTCCTCAGCCCCTGTGGTCGGGGTGCCCTGGGAGGCAGAGGAACCTTCTGCCCCTCACAGATCAGCTCTTCCCTCAGCAGAGAAGCTCAGCAATTGTCTTCATTGGGAAGGTCCCACCTTGTCTGTTATTCTTACCCCGGCTGAGGGTTAGGGTTGGGGGCAGTCAGGATGTGGCTTGGGGTCCTGAAGGGCAGGCAGACGATCCAGGGGAAGGAGATTCAGAGCAGGCAACACCACCTGTGTTTGCTCACTTCTTCGCAGAAGACCATTTTGGACAAGGGAGATGGTCAAGCACCACACAGCTGGGCAAAGTCAAGGAAGCCAGGAGGACACTGGTTTTAGGAAGGTCTCTTTAATGCTCATCTGGGGCTAAAGTGGACTGGACGTTTCCACCTGAGTCTTGTCTGCAGGTTTCTCCCATCTGGTTGTGGCTGTTTCTGAGATAATCTCAGAATTGACTCACCACTGTCACCTCTTCGATGCCTTTCCCTGCTCCCCTCAGTCCCTCTCAATCCATTCTTCTGTGCAGATGAAGCTCTTTATCCTGTAAAGATCATGTTGATGTAGGACACACAGGAGAGTTGGGGTCGCACGAACCATTTCCACTAGTCCTTCAGCAGTTGTCAACCAGGACTGAGCATAGATGGAAGATGAAGTGGCTCCTCAGTTGAGCCAGCTGACCACCTTCTATTTGTCATTTCAGCCCCATCAAAATTCAAGGACATCGATCTGCCTTCCATCATGGTGCAAGGAGGGTTTCTAGCTAATGTTCACAACCTGCATCGGATGGGGAGAGCACCTCTTTTTCCTTCTGTCCTGGCTACTTTTTACAGAGGCACCACTGAAAGCATTTTAACAAATTGCATCACTGTCTGGTTTGGTGGCAGCAGTGCCTCAGATAGAAAGTCCACACAGAGAGTGGTGAGGACAGCTGAGAAGGTTATAGGAAGCTCGCTCCCTGATATTCAGGACGCTGCTTAGAAGTGCTCATATGTGCTTAGAGCTGAAACCATTGCTAGAGACCCCCCACACATCCACTTTACGTTCTGTTTCTGATGCTCCCCTCTGGGAGGAGGTTTCAAAGTATTTATAGCAGGACTACCCAATTCTGTAATAGCTTTGTTCCCTATGCCTTCCATCTGGTAAACTCGCAAGATTCATTTTTCTTGCCATGCACACGTTTAAACAATCCGAACTAGACTGTGTTGTTTCTCTGTATCATATAATATATGAGGGTATATGCACAATTCTGTATTTATTTATTTATTTTTGTCATATTTATGTAGTGTATATCGAAGGTGGTGACCGTTTGAGAGCTGAATGCAACGAAATTTCATTTTAATGTATGCCTATTAGTGTGCATTCAAAGTGACAATAAAGTTATTATTCTATTCTATTTTTCTATTGCCTGAATGAACAGGGCACAAGTGTTGCTATTGCTGTTCTTGCTGAGGTTGTTGATATGATCCTAAAGCACCGAAGGCAAAACAAAGCAGCGAGGGTGGTGGGCCAGGAGAGGAAGGGAGGGAGAGCTTTAGTGAACAAGCTTTGGCTTCTCCCCCCCCCCACTTCTTTTCTTACCTTCTGCCTCAATTTCAACCCTGAGTGGAAACAGAGTGAGGATGATGATGGTGGTGATGATGGACATATTAAGAGAAAGTTTCCTATGGTCAAAGGGGGGGGGGAGAAAAAAAGTGCAAAACGTGGATCTCCAATAGCTGATTCCATTCAGTCTCTAAAATTTGCATGTCAAAAGGATTCATTAAATATTTCTTTATTAATTTAATTAATTAATTAATTAAACCAGTTGTGGGGTTTTCCATTTTATCAGATGTAACGGTACCCTGCACTCATTTTGTCATCGCTGAAGGTGTCACTGTTCCAAATTCAGGCAATTTTAGTAACTTATCACCTTCCCTTCAAATGCGATAAATTATCACATCTTTCTATATCGCATCTCTTATGTATGAAGAAATCCTTAAACTCTCATCATTCAGTCCTGATCTGCAAAAGTCCATTAAAGATTACAAGCGATAACAGCATAATAATTTTGATCAAATAAACCAACTTTATATTCCTTGTCTTTACATTTAATAATCTTGATTTTTAATTCCCTCAAATAATGTCCTAGAGTTTGGGTTATTTTCATTTTTTCTTTGTCCTGACTCAGAAATTCTTCAAAGCTACAACAAATCTCTTTCGTAAATCAAATATGAGAAATTTTATCCAGGTCACCCTTTTGTTTTGTTGAGACATCATTTGTACGTACAGTGTAGCACCTCCTTCCCATAATTTCTATTTTTAAATCCTCTTTCAAATAGTATCCAGTAAAACTATCCAGTAACATTTTCCAAACACCTTCTATTGATAATGAAGATAATCTTAAAATTAACTTCTGGGTCCATTGTTCACAAATATCCCTCAATACATCCAATGTTAAAGTATTGTCAGGACCAGCCCAAGAACAATGAAACAATTTAATCAAAATCTAGTTCTTTGTTTGTTTGCAGTACACACAATAGACAGAATCCTGAGAGACTAAACCAGGAGTAGGCAACCTTGGCTCTTTTATGACTCGTGGACTTCAACTCCCAGAATTCCTGAGCCAGCCATGCTGAGGGAAAAGGGAGAGGTTTCCAAGCTGAGCCATGCTGGCTCAGGAATTCTGGGAGTTGAAGTCCATGAGTCATAAAGCGGCCTAGGCCAAGGATAGGCCACCTTGGCTCTTTTATGACTCGTGGACTTCAACTCCCAGAATTCCTGAGCCAGCATGGGGAAACTTTGGTCCCTTCATGACTCGTAGACTTCAACTCCCAGAATCCCTCAGCCAGCATGGCTCAGCTTGGAAACCTCTTCCTGTCCCCTCAGCATGGCTGGCTCTAGGAATTCTGGGAGTTGAAGTCCACGAGTCATAAAAGAGCCAAGGTTGCCTACCCTTGAACTAAACTTTTACGACTCTCCCTCTGCTCCAGCTTCGGACTGTGCTGCCCCTTGTCTCTCCCCTCCCCCACCCCCCAAAACTGCTTCATCCTTCCTGGGGAATCCATGCTC